GCTCAAATATATATGAGGAAGTTAAAACTCAAATCGTAATTAAATAAGAAGAATAGAAAGTTGATAGAATTGTGGGGATCGACACGTCTAGTTTCGTCCTTTCTCAAGCGACTCGGTGTGTATCTTTGTAATTATATTATTATTAGATAAATCCTATGCCTCGATAGTTTTGAAGAAGTTGAGAAAATCATAATGGTTCTTTAAATCTGTTACCAGGAAAGAATATTAAAAGAATGCTGAGGATGGACACGAGTTGTTTTTGGTTGCTCAAGGGACTCGTGAGATGCCTTTAGACTTCTTTAATAACGTAAATTAAAGGCCTCCTAATTTTTGGAAGAAGTGAAGAAAATCGTTGTAATTCTTGGTATATAGGGAGGAAATTTTTTTGTTGTGTCAGATTTAGAGTCTCTGTATGTGCCTTGTTCATGATTTTGGTCTCTGCTAGAATGAGCTGGAGAGTCTAAGTTCTGAGGTGTTGGTCATGCGGTAGAGATTTATTTTTGGAAAGAAAGATCTGAGAAGAATGGTTCTGGTCGCTTGATGGATGTTATAGATGTATTCGACATGTATAGTGTTCGGCATGCATAGTTAATTGATGATGTCGGATAATTGTTTTGATGCATTATTCGATTATCTAAAATTGAAGAAATTTGTTTATTTTGTTTGTGATATAGAATAGTTAGTGGTCATTGATGGTTAAGTTTATGATGATTTTTTATTTTGAAACAAAGTGGGGATCATTCAGTTTATGTTATAGTTAAAAATGAGAAAGTGAAAAGTCATTGCGTGTTTCTAGTATTTGTTTGTCTGTATTCCTTTAAGTATCGCTTGTGTGGGCTTTTTGTAGATTAAAAAATTTTGTAGTGTACGATTGGTTTTCGGAATTAGTCGAATTTGTATGCGGTTTGCAGGTGATCCAGGATATTGGTAGTGTTTTGCCCACCAATTCAAAAATTGACGAGGAAATATCGTATTTGGTCCGGTTTCAAAGGAATATCGCAAGTACATCACCTTTGAGTTCCATGGTTTCTTTTGTAGATCTGGTAGAAGGACTATTGGATTATTTTTGATAGCTTCCTTTTCGATTTCACGCTTTGTTGGTTGATGAAGTAGTTTTCGATGGAGTTGCTGGTAAACTTGTTCATCGAATCTTTTTATTAGTGGATCAGCTTTATTCACTTGAAAGAATCGAAGAAATTGATTCGTAATGAATTTTGGTGGATAATTATTCAATAACAAAGATACATCAATACGTAGCCGCTCTAGATGAAAATCGTGAAGATTTGAGCAGAGACGTGCTGCACGGATTAATGCACTATATGGGATATTGCGATGAATGCGATGTGGATGATCTGATGTATATGGTAAGTAATATGGATCGGCACTTGGTTTATGATATATCGAGGTTTTTAATTTCCCATTGTCGTTCGTGATAGTAATTTCGAGAAATTGAACAGATTTTTGTATAGTAGGAATTATTTTAATATTCAAATCTTTCTGTTGGGCTTTTTCGAGTTCTTTTGTAATTTCACCAAATGATATATTCGTTGTCATAAAAATATCGTCGATGTATCTAAAGTGAAAAATAGATAAATTTTAGTTATGTTTTAAGTAACTTAAACAAACCGTCCATAGATTTCATGTTTCGATGCTTGATATTTTATTAAATCTTGTTCCCATTCTAACATATAAATATTGGCAAAAACTTGTGTAAATGCTGATCCCATAGCTCCACCACGTTTTTGTTGATAATATTTGTTTTTATATACAAAATAATTTGTATCCAAAATTAGCCGAGCCATTTTCAAAATCATATCTATTGTAAATGGACCTATCTTATGATATATGGCATATTTATCTAGAAATCTTATTAATGCATTGATGCCACCTTCACGTGGTATCATGGTATAAAGATTTTCAACATCTGCTGTAATAAATTTTGTCGTGGGTTTCAAATAACCATTGGCCACATATTGTTCTAATTTTCGAACGACATCAATACTATTAGTAAATGTAGTTTCATGAGCAACCTGTGAATATATTGGTGCTAACAGATTATTTAAAAATTTTGAAACTAAAGTGACAGGAGCATGTAGTCCAGAAACAATGGGCCGTATTGGTATGCCAGGCTGAAAGGAAACATAAAAGTGAATATATTATCAAAAAAAAAATTACCAAATAGAAAAACGCTTCTAAACTAATGTTACCTTGTGTACTTTAGGTAATATATATAAATAAGCTAATTCCATATTGTCTACTTTAGGTAGAAGTTTATCACGTTGAGTTTTTGTAATTGCTTTTTTCTTGACCAAATAATCGAGTACAGCTTCTGTTGAACGTAAAATATGGACTAGAGGACAACGATCTGTAGTTACTTCTTGATAAGCTTCTGTTTTATTCATATATTGTTCTGTTTTATATTCCATTTCAGCCGTATTACCAAAATAAAATCCTTCGCCTTTATCTACTCGACGTACAATAATATCAGGTCGGGTATGCAGCAATTTTTGAAGACGTTTGACTGTTCTTTGTTCACGTCGAGCACGTCTATATAATTTTGATGGTAATGGTTTTGAATATATATCATTAATAATTTGTTCTAATTTTGGAAAAGCTTGTTTTGCTCGTTCATCAGTAATTGACATTTGATTACTATCAAGACTTTTTTTAGTCGTATTCGATATTGCCTCATATTCTCTTTTAGCAATTTCGTCCATCGATTGACGAGAAAATCGACTTTGGCATGGTATAATATATTTACGACCATTGCTTAACATTTCTATAAGTTCTGAATCTAAATTGATATTCGTTCCAATAAATGGTAATGAACT